TACAATATATATACTTTCACCAACAGGAGAATTTGTTTCGGACGGTAAGCCCTGGCATTTTTCTCACACAGTTCCGCAAGCACCCTGATCGTGTTTAAACACTATTGTCCTCACTGTGGGCATGAGTTCCCAATTAAGTATTATTCTTTTTGTCAACAATAGAAGTAGTAATTATGCAGTGTTTGTTTGTGATGATGATAATTGGTAGTAACTCTGATCAGTATATCTGAAGTGAACCCGATTGCCGCCGGGAAATGAACAAAAAATGGTGAAATACAGTACTCATTTTTTATATTTTTGTGAAAATATGTCCTGTCGCATAGATGGCTCTGCTAGTCTGATTTCACTTTCTTGAATTGGCGGGAAACAATGTATTCTTACTAGTACTATCATATAGACTATGGTGTTTTTTTAACAGCAATTAGTATAACGTTAAATATTTTCGTAAACCGATGAAAAAAGGGTGAACGGGCGAGACGGACAGTACACTCGTAATTGGCTCATTGGATACTTAGTACAAGTGTAAGCCATCTAGGTGTTAAAAACAATCGGAACAGAGTCGTCTTCACATGGGATGGCATATACAATACATGCATGCCCCGGCTGCATGGTTAGTCAGCCAATATTTTTTGTCCACTTGATTCTTGTATTATCGTAGAGTCGTATAGCTAATACGCTCACAAAACATAACCAAACTACCCAAACCCATTGGTAGTATTTAAAAGTGGAAGGAAATGTGAGGACGTGCTTAAATTTACTCATAATTGTTTATGATTTAGTGTAATAATGAAGAAGTAAGAATAGTTGTGTATTAACACCATTCCCACCGGGGAAAATGAATAAAAACAGGGAAAATGCTGTTACTCATTTTTTATATTTTTGTGAAATGTCCTTGTACATAGATGGCTCTTTCCTTGAATTGGGGGAAAAAAACATATTCTTACTAGTGCTATCAGTATAGATGGTGTTATTTTCCTTAAATCGATGAAAAGGGTGAACGGGCGAGACAGGCAGTAATTGCTCATTGTGACTTAGTAAAGTGTAGCCATCTATATGTAAAAACAATCAAACAAGTCAACTCACAGTGGCGAGGGCATGTAACGTCATGCCATCCCCATCAGCAAGGGGTTAATTTTTATGGTGAATTTGAATGATCATTCCTTTGTGTTACTTCGAATTTTATTGACGATGGGGTGATTTTTTTTCATTAATTTTCCACCTATCTTCTCTAGACTTATAGCTTCAGATCTTTACCCTTATAGTCCCCCCCCCCCCCTAAGATGCAGATATTGCTTGTATTTATTTATCATTTTCATTTAGAAACGGTACAAACAACCATGATTTGTTTAATCTTCATAAGCATTTTGATCTTACATTGTCACACCTACAAGTTGCTGAGATTTGTGGTAGTAAAGCATCATATCTGACCATATATTGTCTTTTGTATTCCAAGAAAGGAAAGGAAGAATACTACTATGAAATATGTGCCATTGTGTTGAATCAGCATTGTATTATACTTTTTTAGAAACAATTCTATGAATTAAAAAGCCTATTACACAAGAAATATTACTAATGGATGAATTCCCTCTTCAGACTAATCGTGACAGCAATTGCTGACGTCATAACAGCATGGCACCACAAAAAAAAGCAGCTTTTCTTTCCCATGCTTAACGTGTGGAGTTGCTCTAACAACTTCAGAGCCAGAAGTTCCACATGGACTCAGCACAACAAGGGGTTAGACATGTATAAATGCATGTGTACAGACATGCAAGCGCACAAAACTCCCACACACAACACACACACACACACCAACAGGCATGCACCTACGCATGCACCACACGCACACATAACCACAACAAGCACACACGCACAAGCACACAAGCCACAAGCACACACGCCAAAAGCACACACAGCCACACACAACACACGCCACACGCCACCACACGCAAGCGCACACCACACGCACACGCACCACAATGTGTGTGGTATTTGTATGTATATTTATATGTTATGTATAGTATATCTATATATGTATGTATTATGTATTATGTAGATGTATGTTAGTATATATGTAATGTATATGTCTAAATATATTATATGTAGATGTTGTATATATAGTCATATGTATGTATTGCATATATGTATATGTATGTATGTGTATATGTTATTTATGTCTGTATGTATAGGTATATGTATGTAGGTATGTATAGGTATATGCATATGTTTTGTTATATGTATCGTATATGTATGGTAATGTCTGTGTATTTATATTATAAAAATATAGCTATGTATATTACAATACATTATGTATATACCTATATATATATAATATATATATATCATATATAATATATATATATATATTGATCTATTATCTAATATATATATATATACACACACACATGTGGGTAATGTGTTTATGTATATTAGAATATATATTTTTTTTTCTTCTTCTCCCATAGATCTACAAATTTGGTACATAGTCAGCTTCTTTTTTTCTTTTTTTTCTTCTTCTTCTTCTTTCTTGTTCTTCTTCTTCTTCTTCTTCTTCTTCTTCAGCAAGATATTTCATTCATATTAATGCTCATGTTTTTTTCTGTAATTAGACCTTTTTCTTATTACTCCTGTACATTATGTATTTTTCTTTAAGAATATATATCTTCATTAACCCATTGCCTGCCGGGGAAAATGAGCAAAAATGGGGAAAATACTGTTCTCATTTTCTATATTTTTTGTAAAATATCTCAGTACATAGAGGGATCTGCTAGTTCTGATTTCACCTTTCCTTGAATTGGCGGGAAACAATTATTCTACTAGTATACTATACTTTAGATGGTTTTATTTTAACCGCAAATTAGGATAACGTTAAAGATTTTCGTAACCGAGAAAAAGGTGAACGGCGAGACAGGCAGTACTCGTAATTGGCTCATTGGATTACTTAGTACAAGTGTACACTATGTGTGTAAAAACAGCGAACAGTCGTCTCACAGTGGGCATGGCTGTACGACATGCATCTCCGGCGGCATGGTTAAGCAGCCAATATGTTTGTCCCCCTTGATGCTTGTTTATTCTATTATGTATAGTGATACCTCACAAAACCTACGCAAAACTAGAACTACCCAACCCCATTGGTAGTATTTAAAAGTTGGGAAGGGAAATGTAGGACGTGCTTAAATTTACTCATAATTGTTTTATGATTTAGTGTAAATAATGATAGATAAGTATAGATAGTTGTGTATTAACCCATTCCCAACCGTGGAAAATGAAATAAAAAGGGGAACATGCTGTACTCATTTTTTATATTTTTGTGAATGTTCACTTGTACATAGATGGCTCTTTCCTTGAATTGGGGGAAAAAACATATTCTTACTAGTGCTATAAGTATAGATGGTGTTATATTTCCTTATCGATGAAAAGGGTGACAGGCGAGACAGCATAATTGGTCTTGGTGACTTAGTATAAGTGTAGCCTCTATATGTAAAAACAATACAAAAGCAAGTTCAACTCCAGTGGGCATGGCATGTACGTACATGCCATCCCATCACAGCAAGGGGTTAATTTTATGGTAATTTTAAATGAATCATTCCTTGGTTACTACTCGAATTTTATTAGATGGGTGATTTTTTTTCATTAATTTTCCACCTATCTTCTCTAAGATTATAGCTTCAGATATTTTACCTTATAGTCCCCCCACCCCCCACTAGATGCAGAATATTGCTTGTATTTATTTATCATTTTCAATTTAGAAACGGTACAAACTACATGATTTGTTCAATCTTCATTAAGCATTTTGATCTTACATTTGTCAACCTACATTTTGCTGAATTGTGTAGTAAAGCATCTAGCTGACCATATATTTGTCCTTTGTATTCCAAAGAAAAGAAGGAGAATACATACTATAAATATGTACATTGTGTTGATCACTGCATTGTATTATACTTTTTGCGAAACAATTCTATGTAATTAAAAAGCTATTACAAAAGAAATATTACTAAATGGATGAATTCCTCTTCAATTATCGTGACAAGCACTTGCTGACTCATACGAGGCCATGGCACCCAAGCAGCTTTTCCCATGCTACGGGTGGAGTGCCTTCTACAACTTCGAGCCAGTAAGTTCACATGGACTCAGCACACAGGGGTGAGACCCATGTATCAATGCATGTGTAACAGACATGCAAGCCACAAACTCCCACACACCAACACACAACACACCCACAGGCTGCACATAAAACGCATGCACCACACGCACACTACCACAAGCCAAACACCCACAAGCACACAAGCCCCAAGCACACACGCCACAAGCACACACGCCACACACAAACGCCACACACTGCCACCACACGCAACGCACACCACACGCACACGCACTCACAATGTGTGTGGTATGTGTATGTAATGTATATGTATATTTAATATGTTATATTTATGTAGGTATATTGTAATTTAGATGTATGTGTGTATATATGTAGATGTATGTATTTCTAAATATATATATGTAGATGTATGTTAAATATGTATATGTTGTAATGCATAATTAATATTTATGGACATATGTATATGTATGTATGTATGTATACTGTGTAATGTATATTGTTTATCTGTATCGTATGTATGTGTTAGTAATAATGTATGTATGTGGATGTATATGTATATGTCTGTATGTATGTATAGTATATGCATATGTTTTGTATATATGTAATCCGTATCACTCTATGTTGTATTTTTATTTAATATTATAAATATATATATGTATATTACCTACATATGTATATACATATCTATATATCAAAAATAGATATATATAGCTATCATATATATATATATATATATATATATATAATATATATACATATACATATACACCACACACATTTGGGTATGTGTGTATGTATATTAGATATATATTTTTTTTTCTTCTTCTCCCTAGATCTAACATTTGTTACAATAAGTCAGCTTCCTTTTTTTTCTTTTTTTTTCTTCTCTCTTCTTTCTTTC